CGAATTTTAAGCAAATCGGACCGTAAATACGATTTTTTTGAATAGATCGGTCCCTGGTCCACTTCTCGGAAAACATGGATCATATATGCTAATATATGCTAAAAAGATACTTACGTACCAAATTTTAAGCGAATCGGACCGTAATAAGATTTTTTCGAATAGGTCGGTCTCTGGTCCACCTACCCGAAAAAAGTAAATTTTTTAGCCTAAAACATGGTGGTTACTGAAAGCTATTTATATCCAAAATTTCATGGAAATCGGACCAGCCGTTCGCGAGATTACCTGTTACAAAAAAAAGGGACTTCTCTTTATATAATTAGTATAGATATAGATATAGATAGATATAGATTATCATCCACTGGTATGCACGTATAGACTCGGCTATATGCCCATAAAATCATTGCTCTTTTTATTGCATTAATTTCTTGCGAATATCAAACATTATCTGAAATATGTCAACTATAATTAAATTTCTTTCTATTTACTTTTTAGATTACGGTTTAAGGAATTCCAGCGTTATGTAAAAACCTAAAAAATATCCTAAAGTATTTTGCTTGTGTAGAATGATATTACAGAAAAAAATACATGGAGAAAAATTACCCAGCACCCCCTATTACAAATTTGTATGCTCAGAATTTAAAATTCAGTACAAATCAATACAATCTTTGAAAAATCAGGACATTAGCGTACTGATTGAAGAAATGAATAAAATCAGTACGAGAGTTGAAAAATCAGTACGTCTGGAAACCGTAACTGCTTACCACGATTCCTCAAGCATTGACAAATATCCTGGTGAGCTCCCACTTCAAAAGAAGTTTTACCCAGTTTTTAGCTGTATTGATGTCAGAAAAAACGAGTTTTGAAACGTGGGTCACAAAATATTGCAACAACAGGACGGTAATGGAAGCCGACGATATGTAAGCACGCATATTAGTATGATTTTCATCAAATTGTTTAATAAAAATACATAACTACGCGTTTTTGCTTAGCGGAGTTCATGGTTTTTCATCTTTTGTCTTTGACGTTTCTCCTCTATTTACCACAAATAACACAGGCTTGCAATATTTAAATTTTGTTTCCCCCTTCCAATAATTGTGTTGTTTTTTAAATATCTAGGTGTGTCGAATTAAAATACATCTTTGGTTTTTTTCTAGCATGTCGAGATTTTTTACTGATGACATTTATATTTTAGGATTTTTAGCAATTTGCATGAAAATCAAAAAATTGAATAATTTAGAATTGAATTGTTACTTAAAAACAAATAGCGTTAGTTAAAAATACCGACAAATAGACTAACTAAATGGGAAAAGCTTAAATAATTTCGAAGTTAACGGCAGTAATGTGCGTTTCTTAGCGTTAATTTCGAAATTACGTAGGTTTTCCTAATTTACTTAGTCTATTTATGTGTCGGCCGCTGTGGTGTAGTGGTAAGCACATCGCAAAAAATATGGAAAAAGGTTTTTTCTTAACAGCGGTCGTCCCTCGGCAGGCAATGGCAAACCTCCGAGTGCATTTCTGCCATGAAAAACAGCTTCTCATAAAAATACAATCGCCGTTCCGAGTCGGCGGAAAACTGTAGGTCCCTCCGCTTTGTGTGACAACATCAAGGCGCACGCCACAAATCGGAGGAGAAGCTCGGCCAAACACTAACATATGTGTAAGCGCCAATCTATTATTATTATTATTATTTATGTGTATTTTACAAGATTTAATTATCCAATACTGTTGGTTTTTAAGTAAAAATTCAATTCTAAATGTATTAATTTTTGGTTTTTCATGCAAATTGCTAAAAGTCCTAAAATATATATGCCACCAATAAAGAAAATCTCGACGTGCTAGAAAAAAGCCAAATATGTATTTAAATTTAACGAACCGAGATATTCAAAAAATAAAAAAAAAAAATTGATTTCGCAGGCCTGTATAACCTATAAATCAGGGTTGTAGGCGGAAAAGTCATGTTTTAAAAACAGGATTATTTTATAACTTGGATTTCAGAGAAGAAATTTCGTTTTCTTAATTACGTATATTAACAATATTGCCAAATTTATAAAGGGCAGCAGCCTACCGGGTATCCGATCAGATATTCGAATCCGGCTCTTATTTTTTACATGGTACCTGGAATCCGGTTATACGGCAAAATCTCTATCCGGCACATTCCCATTTTTAAGTCTAGATAACCAAATTTAAAATCATTTTTTGGAGAATTTAATGTCCTAAAAGAATATGCCAAGAAACAAATTTTAGCTCAAACGGTTATAACAGTTTTAATGAAAACACATTTTTTTACATGTTATTTACATGAAAAATTTCAAATGCCCACCGACACACAATGATGCCATTAGCCGGAAAAATTCAAAGTGGAATTTTGAGGTTTTGATAATTCCAACTTGTTAAGAAATGTCCAATTACATTGAAAAAATTATCCTTTGGTGTTTTAAAGCACACTTCAGTAGTTTTTTTGTAGGTCAAATTTGATGTTTTGAAACTTTGTTTTCTAAAAATTACACAAATCAAACAAACATTTTTAAAAAGTGGTGTGTTGTTTATCACAGAGGTGTGCCAGAACTGAAAGAAAAGAATGTACTTGGCATAGAAAACGATGCTCTTTTTTATGAAATAAAAGCAATTAATATGTGATGAGGGGCGTAGCCAGGGTAATGTTTCAAAATTAGGCGGTTTTCCGTCAAAAAATATGAACAAATCGAACTTTTTTGGACAATCTAAACACTGTGCTGCCATGTGAGACTCTCCATGATTCCTACTTTTAGATAATGCTTAAGCCATACTTTGCACGATCTTGCAACAATGTCAAATTCCATATTATTCAAGCAGAGTCTGTACGAAAAAATGGTCATAGTTACCCAAGAATTGCGAATGATAAAGCAGATGAAAGTTCCCGACAGTGACATTTCGCAGACATAACTCAAAAATATATAAAAAAAAGAACAAATATGTAGTTATAAGTTATATATTGATTAAAAAATAATTGTATATATTAAACAATTTTACATTCAAACTTGAAATAGTATTTTCTTTGCACTGTAAAGCTTTAAAATTAATTTAAACTGTAAATACGTTTTTCGATTATAATGGTCTCAGAGCCCTTGGGAAGGTTAAAAACTACATTTCCAACATCTACATAAACTCCAATTTCTCTTTATCAGAATTGCTAGAAGTTAAGAAAGTACCTCGAAGGTGTTCACACGGGTTTTGTCAGGACTGGGCCAAAAATCGATATATAAAAAATATATTTTGGTACCAAGTATTCAAAAGATTAAGCTATTGTGCCCTTAAATCGGATTCTTTAGGATAGCTCTCAATCCCTGAGCCCCCTATCGGAAGATAAATCCTTCCACAAAATAACAATCATTCAATGCGATTTTGAAATCTGGGAGAAAATTCTTCCCAATTGAATGATTCTTGTTATTTTCTAATTTGTAGATGTAGGTGTATCCATAACCTTACCATAAGTAGTTCCAGAGATAAGCGACATGGAAATTGGATTTTGTGTGGGTGGTGCCACATCCGCCCTTCCAATACAAACCACTTTTCGCCATATGTACGAAATTGATAACATATGTAGCTGTTTCAAATTGCAGAACGTTAGCGTAAGCGGTTCCAGAGATAAGCGATATGAGAATTTCAGTTTGTATTGGTAGTGCCACGCCCCCTTTTCCAATAACTATCATTTTTCGTCGTAAGTAGGGTATTTACAATTTGTGCATCCGTGCCAAGTTTCAATTCCCCAGCGTGATTGGTTTTAGAGATACATCATATTTCACATTTTAGTCAGTATGTCAGATGCCACACCCCCTGTATAATGGGGTTAACATTTCTTGTTTAGGGGACGTTATATCCTTTCAAGAGAACGGTGCCCTTAAAAAAGTTGGCTAAAAAATTTTATTGTGGCGTATTTATATGTAGATACATTCAATATATCGTTTTTGCTACAAACCCTCCTCAAAGAACCTCTGGTGTCATCTAATCGATCCTTGATCAAGGTAAATTTTTGTATGCCCACTTTTTACAACAAATCTAAGCATCTGAAGCAATTAAATATTTTTTCCCGGCTATCTTGTATGAGGCGGCCCACTGTGCGACACCTTTTAAAACCGGAGTAAAAATTTTTCCAAATGGGAGAATTTTCTTCTCAGTAAATAGGTTCTTTTAAGGCTTATGGCCTTAGGTCGTTAGGTTAGTTATTTTGGATCACCCTAATATGTATACATATAAGTATGTGTATGAAATTTGTGAGCGAAACCAAAAAAAAAAAAATAAAATCATTGTACTTGTTTACTTTTGAACTTCTAATCGATATAAAAAAAGAAATTGGAGCCAAATTTTACAAATGATTTTGTACTTATGCGTGTTTTGACCTCTTAATGAATGCAATTGGTCTCGTTCCCATCACTTTTTGAGTGTTGCACTGTGTTATTATATTTAGTGTCAGTTTAATAAGATGGTTCTCAATTTCAGATTTCTCTTCATTATCTTGTATTTTTGAAAGTAATTTACGAACTTCATATCTAAACTAAGTATTAAAAATGTGAAATAAAGAAAAGATAAAAAAGGAGTGCCTAGCTTTTTATGCGGACTTTTCAGTTTTTGGGGAGGACGGAGGACATTTTGTGGCAAAGGAGGACGGTTTGCAATCTTTTTTAAAATATATTGCGATTATATTTTACTAGCAATATAAATGTTTACCAAGGCACACTTAATAGGTACCAGCAGCAGGGATGCAATTTTAGTGTTTCCCATTCGAAGTGTTCCGTGAATTGTAATTTTTGTTTACATTTTATTCTGCAATTTCAAACTTTGTTTACCTTTTTTGACATTGTAGAGTAAATAATCAACAACAAAAAGCACCCTTTCTTGTAGTTTTTGCACTAATGCTACTAACAGTTTAATGTGGCTTGATATTACATATTAAATACTTACGATACACAAACATATGGTTTGTAAATGTCTGTATATATGGGTAAAATAAAATGCATACTCACTTTTTTCCATTGGCGATCTCTTTAAGTACGGCGGCTCGTGCTGCCATCTCCTCTGCTCGTCGTTGTTGTGTCAATTCCTTAGCCCGCTCAGTCCAAATGAGCTCTTTTAAGCGTTGGAAGCTGCCTTGCACATTTACTGAGTTCGTGTTACCTCCATTAGCCCCATTCAAGGTTGAGTCACTGGCACCCACATAGCGATATTTTGAAGGCCGGCGAGCGCTACCACCTCCAGCCCCCACATGGGAAGTCGATGTTGATTTCGATTCTGCTCCGTATACGCGCGGTGATGAGCTGCCATAGATACTTCCGTCAATTCCATAATGCCGTTGTCGGTGTCCAATGGTTACACGCTGTGGTATTAGTGGCTCTCTGCTAATCACTCTGCCAAAAACGGGAGATCGGGACCTTTCCCCATATCGTGACAACATTCGTACACTGCGGGTAAGAGAAATGAAAGTTAGTTAATGGAACTAGCCTAACTACTAATTCACTAATAGATTTAAGCATGAATAGATACTCCAAAGTACTCAGTACTATATATCTGAACGATACTGGTACGATTGGATGTAGAACTTTGGCGAGACTTGAATTTTGTGTGAACTAAAGTTATATGAAAGAGCTTAGTTAAGTACTGCCATAATCCTGAACCCATCGACCAGGCCACTTATCATCCAAACCAAAAACGAAGATACAAGTTAATATGGTGCCAATATACTCCCTATAAGTACAGTTGCTTTGGTTCTGGCATTGCATTATTTTGAAGCAATTTCTGATACTAGTATCGCCAAGTTGTCGAAATTCGACATCTTTTTTTATACACTTTTAAATTTCACCTGTCACCAGTACTAAATCTTTTATGCGAATTACTATTTTGAAGTCCACCGGCATAATTTATAGCGAATTTACAGCAAAACTTAAAATCGAATTATGAACGTTAATACCGGATTGATTAGTGCTAATTCTACCAAGTCTCCTCCTCAGTAGCTTTTGAAAATATACCGAAAAAGGAACCTCGATTTTCATTTATAAAAAATATGCATATGTATTTGTATGTATAGATGAGATGCTCATCACTGACTAATATGTCAAACAATTCAGACTGTAAATAAGTCCGTAAGTACGGTATTGACAACATATGTTGCTGTGTCAAATTTCAGGACGTTAGCATAGGTGGTTACGGAGATGACCGATAAGAGAATTCCTGTTTGAATAGGCGGTGCCACGCACTCCTTTCCAAAATCTACCACTCTTCACCGTAAGTACGGTATTGACAACATATGTTTCTGTGTCAAATTTCAGGACGTCAGCATAGGCGGTTACAGAGATACGCGTATGAGAATTTCAGTTTGAATGGGCGGTGCCACGCCCTTCATTCCAAAATCTACCACTCTTCGCCGTAAGTACGGTATTGACAACATATGTTGCTGTGTCAAATTTCAGGACGTCAGCATAAGCGGTTCCAGAGATAAGCGATATGAGAATTTCAGTTTGTATGGGCGGTGCCACGCCCCCTTTTCCAAAATCTACCACTTTTCGCCGTAAGTACGGTATTGACAACATATGTTGCTGTGTCAAATTTCAGGACGTCAGCATAAGCGGTTCCAGAGATAAGCGATATGAGAATTTCAGTTTGTATGGGCGGTGCCACGCCCCCTTTTCCAAAATCTACCCATTTTCGCCGTAAGCACGGTATTGACAATATAAGTTTCTGTGTAAAATTACAGGACGTTAGCATGGGCGGTTACAGAGATACGCGATATGAGAATTGCAGTTTGTATGGACGGTGCCACGCCCCCTTTTCCAAAATCTACCACTTTTCGCCGTAAGCACGGTATTGGCAACATACATATGTTGCTGTGTCAAATTTCAGGACGTCAGCATAAGCGGTTCCAGAGATAAGCGATATGAGAATTTCAATTTGTATGGGCGGTGCCCCGCCCCCTTTTCCAAAATCTACCACTTTTCGCCGTAAGCACGGTATTGGCAACATACATATGTTGCTGTGTCAAATTTCAGGACGTCAGCATAAGCGGTTCCAGAGTTAAGCGATATGAGAATTTCAGTTTGTATGGGCGGTGCCACGCCCCCTTTTCCAAAATCTACCACTTTTCGCCGTAAGTACGGTATTGACAACATATGTTGCTGTCCCAAATTTAAGGACGTCAGCATAAGCGGTTCCAGAGATAAGCGATATGAGAATTGCAGTTTGTATGGGCGGTGCCACGCCCCCTTTTCCAAAATCTACCACTTTTCGCCGTAAGTACGGTATTGACAACATATGTTGCTGTGTCAAATTTCAGGACGTTAGCATAGGCGGTTCCAGAGATAAGCGATATGAGAATTTCAGTTTGTATGGGCGGTGCCACGCCCCCTTTTCCAAAATCTACCCGCTTTCGCCGTAAGCACGGAATTGACAATATATGTTTCTGTGTAAAATTTCAGGACGTTAGCATAGGCGGTTACAGAGATACGCGTTATGAGAATTGCAGTTTGAATGGGCGGTGCCACACCCCCTTCTCCAAAATCTAGCACTTTTCGTCGTAAGTACGGTATTGACAACATATGTTGCTGTGTCACATTTCAGGACGTCAACATAAGCGGTCCCAGAGATAAGCGATATGAGAATTTCAATTTGTATGGGCGGTGCCACGCCCCCTTTTCCAAAATCTACCGCTTTTCGCCGTAAGCTCGGTATTGACAACATATGTTGCTGTGTCACATTTCAGGACGTCAACATAAGCGGTCCCAGAGATAAGCGATATGAGAATTTCAATTTGTATGGGCGGTGCCACGCCCCCTTTTCCAAAATCTACCGCTTTTCGCCGTAAGCTCGGTATTGACAACATATGTTGCTGTGTCACATTTCAGGACGTCAACATAAGCGGTCCCAGAGATAAGCGATATGAGAATTTCAATTTGTATGGGCGGTGCCACGCCCCCTTTTCCAAAATCTACCGCTTTTCGCCGTAAGCTCGGTATTGACAACATATGTTGCTGTGTCAAATTTCAGGACGTTGGCATAGGCGGTTACAGAGATGGCCGATAAGAGAATTTCAGTTTGTACAATCGCCGTTCGGAGTCGGCGTAAAACTGTAGGTCCCCCCGCTTTGTGTGACAACAGCAAGGCGCACGCCACAACTCGGAGGAGAAGCTCGGCCAAACACTAACATATGTGTAAGCGCCAAACTATTATTATTATTATAGGAGGTGCCACGCCCACTTTCCCAGTACCTACCATTTTTTTCCGTAAGTAGGGTATTTACAATCTATGCATCTGTGCTGAGTTTCAGTACCCCAGCATAATTCGTTTTAGAGATATAGTGGTTTTCACATTTAAGTCTATATGTCAGATGCCACGCCCCCTATATATCGGTGTTTACATTTCTGGATTAGAGGAAGTTATATCCTTTAAATCGGTGTATGTTTCATTGAAATCGAGCGGAGAGTGCCTTCAAAAAAGGGATTGCAAAATTTTCTTGTGGCGTATTTATATATAGAGATTATAAGCAATGTAGTTTTGTGGCGCAATCCGTAGAGTTGAATGACTGCTGATGATAAAACGCTCAAGATTTGAATTTTTTGCAAATTTCCTCTGACTTTGACGTAATTTGGAAAAATGTTTGGCGCCTTTAACGTGGTATTAAATGCTTACAACCATTAGGAAATTTCCACATATCGTCGCTTGGCGGTTCCAGCCTGTTTCTTAAAGCGTCGTAAGGCGACAAACTTGAATAACTTAAAAATTTACAAAATTTTAAATTATTTGCACCAGTTGAGAAGACTTTCAGTTATAATTTATTTTTTATTGTGGTACAATAATTCATTTTTGAGAATTGCATCGAGGCTGCAAATGTCGGATGTATCCTCCTGACTTTCATCTTCACAATCTTTTCCAAAAATGTTTTCCTTCTCATTTTTTTGGTTGTTCAGAAATTGTAACGCCATTAATGGTTTTCTATTTCAGTTTTTGTAATTCGTTTTTAGTCCTTTCTTCTGGGACTGTTTTGAAAAATTTCTGCTTAACGTCAAAGCTGCGAAGTTGTGTTTTTTGTGATCTGCTTAAATTTTGTGTTTTATAAAGCTGTTTACGCTTAATAAAGTAAAAAATTAAAAAAATTTTTAATAAACTTCTGGTGCACAATTTAAAGATAAGTAAAACATCAAAATTTCCCGTAAATTTGATTAATTTAACTTGATATTCTTAATTGCATGTGCCGAGTATTTTGTTTCATATAATATATTGTTGTTGTACAATTGTTTTTGTTTGTGCACATTGATTTTGCTCTTTTTGTCTTTTTGTCATTTCTGCTGTTTCATCTTTGTCACAGCTGTTTGCGTTGTGTTTATTAGGTGTCAAATATACAGTGCATTTAGAACTGTTCGCTACATAGCTTTCCAAGTGATATTTACCAGCTGATTGGTTCTTTGTTTGATACATCGTTTTCAAAACTGTTTTGCATTTTTGCTTCTAAAACCTAAAAACTAAATATAATTTTAAACATGTCGTGTATTTACACCAATTGCCACGTTAAAAGCGACTCCTATGTGTCATGCTGGCTCTGCGATGGGATTGCCCATATAAAATGTGCTGGTTTGAGCGGTAGAGTATTAGACGCTATTAACGAGGGTAAGGGTCTTCGTTGGTCTTGTCAAAAATGTAGATCAACCGAAGTTGATTTATTTAAATTCTTTAGGCAGTCCAGAAATGGTTTTTCTGAGACGACAGATCCTTCGTCGGCGCTTGTTGAGAAATTTAAGCATTACGAAAAAATGTTTAGGTCTTTCACATGTCTCGACAACCCTCCACACTCTGAGGATAGCCGAGAAAGTAAAGGTAGGCGTGTTATTAGTCCACCTAGAAAGACAGCCGCTAAATCTAGTGACAAAAATCCTCCATCCCAATCTTTGGAACTTATTAATCTATCTTCTCCACGCTCTCAGGCATTGGAGCCTCCGCTAACTAAAGCCATATCCACTATGTCTACTTCTAAAAATAGTCAAACCGTTGATTTAACACTGTTGCCATCAACATCTGAAGCTGCGCNTCTAAAGCCATATCCACTAGGTCTACTTCTAAAAATAGTCAAACCGTTGATTTAACACTGTTGCCATCAACATCTGAAGCTGCGCTGTCTAACTTAGTTCTTCCGAATAGTTCGGAGCCACGCACATCAGACATTATTACCAAAAAGTTGGTTGTAATTCCTCCGAGAAGATCAATCTTTGTCTCTAGATTTGCTAAAGATACTTCTTCGGATGATATAAAGTCATACATATCGACTAAAATTAGAACTAAAGATGTATTTATTCGTAAATTTAATTTTAAATACGATCGCGATATTTCATCTTTTAAAATTGATGTAGCTTCCGAAGATTTTGATTCACTACTAAATAGTTCATTTTGGCCGACCGGGGCGTTTGTTCGCGAGT